TCCAAAACCCATTCTTGTATTTGACTTATTTTATTCCGTTATTCTCTAACGCGAACTAAGTCGATAAAAGTATACGAGGGTTGGCGGCATGTATTATTTCGATAACAATAAGCATACTATTTAATTGGAGTCCGATACAGGACCACTAAAAGTTCATACAGTTAGTAATTATTATCTTTTACTTCAAACAAATCTAAAACAGATAAGTTAATTGTAATATCTGCACATTGAGAAAATACGTGACCCAAACTATTGACCAGGTTCCCCTGAATAAAATCTTTACTGAATTTTTTTTCTCAACTTCATGATAACTTAGCAACAGAAATAAGAAGCTAGAAATAAAAGTTACATATGAATATATATCTAATGAGTTATGTGAATCACTATTTCTCTAAAAAGTGTGATATATAAAAGTATCCCATGACTTATACTAAACAAATTTGAAATCATGAATCAATTGAAGCTAGACCACTATCGAAAACCTAGAAGCACTGAACGGCCGTTTCGTTCTATTATGGGACTCCTCAGCAGTGCGCATCCACGATCCCGTACTCGCGAGATTCGAACCCAGGACCTACCAGTGGTCTATCGGTTAAGGGCTCTGGCTCGAGACTGGTAGGTCCTGGGTTCGAATCTCGCGAATGAGGGATCGTGGATGCGCACTGCTGAGGAGTCTCATAATAGGACGAAACGGCCCCCCAGTGCTTATAGGTTTCCGATGGTGGTTTAGCTTCAATTGACTCATGATTTCAACTGTGAAAAATACTGAAATCTCCACAAATCCCCTTCAAATTACGAATGTCATTGCGGTACTGCTAGTAGTAATATTAAGAATTTGTACTTTTCGATTATTGTTGCTATTCTGAATTGCATTTGGTTGATCTATGTGATAGTAATAGGGGCTCTTCAGTGACATTTATAACTAAAGATCATTTGAACTGATCTCATTAAATATAATACATATATGTGAATTTGTAGGACAAATATTAAAATTTACACAATACGTGGTAAATGGTTTCATCATTGTAGAACTAATAAACAATCGTTTGTCTTATTGGAAAACTGAAACTCATCCAGCTGTGAGAATATCTCTGTTTATACTCGATAAGTTGAGTAACGTCAAAAGTACTAGTCAATGAAATCCAAACCAATATGATTTATTACTAATAGTTACGGGTATGATTTTGTACAATTTCATAAATACTTACCAATAAAAATTTCTACAGTATAGACGATCAAGATTTTGACTTTCAATCTTTCTTAATTGATATCCTGTAATATATGTAATGTTTACTTACGAACTTGAGTGTGTGAATATTCTGTACAACATGAAAGTAATTTAGCTTCAGAACAATTAGGTACTGGGAAGTAATAAACTGTTTGAAATGTAGTTTAGAACTACCCGATATTGTGAACCTATAAAATCGAATCCTTTTTTTATAACCGGAGGCGAGCGTGATATAATCTATCTACTACGTCGAAAGTCAGTGATTCATCCGTCTAATTCCAATCAAGAGACTACCATTTAATATTGTAGGTGCATTCAGTCAGTCTGTCAGCTACAACGTAGGACCAGGCACATTTATGCATCCGTCCAAGTTGCCATACCTCGTTAGCACAACAAGATCAACACCGGATTCATAGAAGTAATTAATTTAGTGGTGGTAGTATATAAAGAAAGGTTGTATATTAAGATATAGTATAGGAAGGAAAAAAGTTATGAAGCAATCTTAATCTCAAGGTTTGAGGGAAGATAAACAGTGTATACACCTACGCCATTGTGACCGATTCTGAGCCATGTCACCTAGAGTCTCCAACCATTGGTTACGATAGTCACGCGGACCCCAACCAGGTAGTCTGCATCTACCAACATGGATCAGGCTAGAAGTTAGTGACTTCAAGCACTGATGCCATGTTTTGGTTTGGCCGCCCCTAACTCTCTTCCAACCATCCCCTACACTAGTCATCATAGAGCGTCGTGGTAATCGGTGTTCAGGCATACGTAACACGTGGCCTAGCCATCTCAGTCGAGATTCATAACCTCATCAACTAACTTACCATCATTCCCTAATACCTTGTGTCAAACCTCACTATTACTTACCCGTTGATCCCAGCAGATGCGAGCAATATTTCTAAGACATCTGTGGTCAAATACTAGTAACCTACGAGTATCTTCTACTCTTAATGGCCATGTTTCACAGCCGTAAAGTAGAACAGAGCGAACTGCTGCGCAGTATACTCGTCCCTTAATTGATAGACGGATATCTCGTCTTCGCCATAGGTGGCGTAAATTGGTAAATGCCAAACGAGCTTTTTGAATCCGTGCTGAGATTTTGTCAGACGCCAACCCATTAGGGCTGATCAGACTTCCAATATAAGTGAAGTTGTCCACGCATTCGACTACTTCACTCCCTATCCTTAGTTCTGGTGTTGACGCAGGCCAGTCCTGGAGTAACAATTTACATTTGGATGTGGAGAAATGCATCCCAAACATCCTGACATTATTACTCAGTTCTAACAGAAGACTCTGCATCTTGCCAGCGTCTTCACCAAACAGGACTATGTCATCTGCGTATTCTAAGTCGATAAGTGAACCTTCTGGTAGAAGATCAATTCCTGAAAATTCAGTCGACGAGTGTTATTTCCAGCAATAGGTCTATAATGAAGTTAAACAAAATGGGGATAGTGGACAACCTTGACGGACACCACTTGAGGTTATAAAATCATATGACAGTTCGCCATAAGCTCTACTCGACTGGTAGTGTTCGAGTAAAGAGCCTTCACAAGGTTTATGTACTTCTAAGGTACATCCTTTAATGACAGACACTGCCACAGAACCTCTCGGTCTACAGAGTCAAATGCTGCTTTCAAGTCAATGTAGGTGCATTATCATACTTCTCAATTAATTGGCTCTATAAGTTATGACTTACCATTGGAACTTAGTGAGATCCATCTTAAAGGACATGGTTGTTATTAACCATAGTAATTGTATGACGATTTTATAGAATATGAAACTCAACTAAATTGAGCACTACATAGCAAGGCAAGTGAAGTCAGAAAATATAAAACTTCGAATTCCTATTGCATGGATGAAAGTGTCATACTTATAGACGATCCTGAGTTTGATCACTTACAGAAACATATGTATTCCAGAAGAATTTAAAAAAAGAACGAAAGTTATCTATCTTTTTTCTTATTTTCAAGCTGATGATAGTTAATAATGAAAATGCTTACATATTTATTACTTTTTAAATTCAGATGGAGAAGTCTGAAAATCAAAAGGAAACATTGGATGAGTTGATTGATCAAGAAGAACAATTACTGCAACAAAATTCAGAATTAGATAAGACATGCTCATCGATACAATATGAAGTTGAAACATGGGAGTCATGCATGAGAAACTTTCTGAATAAATTTCTACAATCAGTTGAGGAATTACAAACTCTACATAACAGGATTTATCAACTGAATTGATCAACAAAATAATTAATTTGTTTAACAGTCGACTACAAATGTATACATACATTAAAACTATAAAACATTGAAATGTAGGTAAATACAATTTCGACATAATAAAATCCACTATATTTTCTATGTAATCATTTTATTAATAAGAATAACTACATCTCAGATTCAAATTAACAATGTAAACTCATGTTAGTCAATAGACCCTAGTCAGTTTAAAGCCCCCCTCCTGCTTCAGTCTGGGCACTTGGGCAGTATCACAGCCCTCACACAAATCAAATGAGATTTGTGCGGCGCATATGTATCTGGTGCTTCTTTGTACCAATATTTATGTGTTTAAATAGTTTAAAGCTCATATTTATTTTGAATAAGTGACTGTGTCGTTCAAAATCGTCACTAACAATAAAAAGCTTTAATTCCAGTCATTTTTCATTTAAACATAGGCATTATAATAACCACATATGATACAATACAGGATTTAGAAAACTGTACAACTAATAGTTCCACAGAGTCAGCACATAAATGGCTTCTTTAAAATAACCTTCACCTATTATCTATGATCTTTAGTATCTTCGTGATATCAGTCATTCCCTGATTATGAACGAACAAAGACGACCAATGCAACTTATAAGCAACGTTAGCCTAAGCAAATGTCGAACCAAGTACTGTTGGGTGATAGTACTGATAATCTTCAAACCAAGCTACACGACCTCTCTACCATTCATATTTTACCAACCAGTTCAATTATCTTTAACATAATGAGTTCATATGAATTGTTTATTACTTATACTTGTAAAATGAGGAACCACTGAACACCAAGACTGGTACAAATGAAGATTTATTAAACACCACAGCACGACGACTACCCTAGTCGAAAATACACTCATTCATATATTGATTGTGCACCCATTTTGACTATTAATTAAGATGAAATCATGTAATATCGATTTCGATATTATACGTACAATGGGGTAGCCAATTAGAGTGACACCTGATGAAGATCAAATTAAGGATAATATTTTCATATTTTAAGCTACTAAATGATCTTAGCTAGACCACTGAAAACCTGAAAGCACTGTACAGTTTTTTAGTTCTAGTATGGGACTCAGGAGTGTGCATCCACGACCCAGCCACTAGGGATCAACCCAAGAACATTCGGTCTTGCGCGCAAACGCTGAACATCTAGACCATTGAGTTGGAATCCAATGGTGTACACGTCTACTTTCAATCAATTCGCGATATTGTGCGATCGTTTTTCATTGCCTGAGGTGGGTAACGATATTGTGCCTTTATATTGTTTCACTTAATATTCCCCAGTCATCTAATAATATTGCGTTTGTCCGTCAACTTTCGTTGCATGGATGCACAGATCAAATGTATTATTCCTGAGAACATCACATCCATTCTCCAACTAGTTAATTCGAAAAAAAGTACATTAAATCCAATTTTTGAAAATTATAAAGAATTTATTGTGGATGTTTATCTAAAAATATTAAAAGAATATGTACAAGGTGTATATCTAATCACAGTGTTAGTCAATATTCAGGAAATTTCGGTTTTAATAAAAATGGATTTTTTGTTTCAGGAGATTGATTAGAACTACTATTTACAAAAATGTTTGACTTGGACTTCACAAGATTTTGTTCATCTTTGTTGTCTGACATTGACATTTTCATATCGCAATCGTTGGTTACACTAGCAAGTAGAGCTGATAGATATGGACGAGGTGATTCTTTTGGAGTAATCACTGCACATGGTTGATTTTTATTTTATATCATAAAATAGAAACGAAGAAAAATATTACTAGTTCAACAGTTATATTAGTAATAAAACATATAAACACGAACATCAATATACATAAACAAAACGAAAAATTGCCAGTTGTGTTAATATTGTAGATTCAGTCAGTCGGTCACAACGTAGAACTTCGTACGTACGTACATCAGTTCGAGTTGCCATACCACATTAGCACAGAGATGAAGTTGTCGATTCAAATCTGCATTTTGTCAGCATCTTCACAAAATAAAACTATGTCGTCGGCGTATTGTAAGTCAACAAGTGAGCCTCCTGGTAAAAGTTCAACTCCTGGAGATTGAAATGATGAAAGTGTTATCTCCAAAGGCATGTCAACGACAAAGTTAAACAAGAATGGAGAGAGTGGACAGCCCTGATGAACACCACTTGAGGTAACCACTTCTGATAACAGTTCGGCATAGGCTCTAACTCGACCAGTTGTGTTTGAGTAGAGAGCCTTTATGAGGTTAATGTACTTCTTTGGTACTCCTTTCAGTGACAAACATTGCCATAGAACCTCACGATCAACGGAGTCAAATGCCGCTTTAAGGTCAAGAAATACTACTATTGTGGGACGTCTGAATGTATGTCTATGTTCTAGGACCTGACGTAGAGTGAATATCTGGTCTATACAACCACGTCCAGGTCGAAAACCAGCCTGGTTTTCTCTAGTCTGCTCTTCACGAGCTTTGGTTAGGCGTCAAAGTATTATTGAAGCTAATATTTTAGACACTATATTAGTCAAACTGATCCCTCTGTGATTGTCACAGGAGGACTTTTGTCCTTTCTTATAGACTGGCACAATCGGTTAGATGGGATTACGTCCAGTTCTTAGATTCTACCTAAGACCTCAGTCAATCTCGCTGCTAGTACAGGACCACCATCCTTAAAAATCTCAGGGGTAATATTTTAGATAACCCATAAACTTTACTATAGTTAGATAAACAAGTGAGAATTGTTACTCCGGATTTTATGGTCCATTCTAACGTCGGTCAATTGTTTACCCTTAAAGATTGCATTACTTACATTTATTTTTCCATCACTACTATTGCAGAAGAGATCGGTGTTTGGGACTAATTTGAATGAATTATTTGACTGCATATAATGTCGCAACCAGATTATGTGTTCCATGCGATAAATCATACAAATTAGAATTGTAATCAATTAGGTAATGAAGAGCTTCTCGTACCCCACGCCATCTTCAATTATGAAATACTTCATTGTTTAATAATTACACAATTTTTATCCAAATCCTGAATTTATCCAATTATTGCTGACAGAACTACAGACTCTGCTGCATGCTCTTTTATAATAATTTTAGAGGCGCATGAATAGTTTTGGTGGATTATGATTTGTTTTAGAGATCCTAATTAATAAAATAGATTTTCATAAGTTGGATGATTATGTAACTCCATACGCTAGCAAATATAAATAAATTTAGCATATGTTGTGTTTTTTTATTATACAAACAACTTCTTGAATGTATCATTCTGCTCATTTTTCTTTAATTACTACATAATTTCCCTCTCTTCATAATGTCTGACATATTTTGTGACATATCCCTTAATCATTTGGTTTGCATTGTTCTCTAAGTAAATATTTCAGTTGGAAAACTACCATAGACTAATGATGATTTTTTCCAAATGATAACGTTTATTTGTATCTCAAGGTGGGAATGTTGTGTTCGCTGAGTTGGATGGCTTAGCTGAAAACCTTTCATTGTCCCCGTAGGCAATATCATTAGCACGTACTTCAAAGAAAAGTGGGCTAAACTAACTAGTATCTGCTAGCAAATATGATTTAAAATGTTGCTGAAATACTCCGAAGTGCAACATTATTTCATTTCAGCTTTTATGTGAATTATGACTAAAAAATAATATTTTTTCCTGTTTATCCACATCCCAATGGTAACAATTGTTAATGCTTGCAAAAAAATTACCACCGTAAGAAACGTAACTAGATAAAATAAAATACAGAATATAAACTTGGTTGAAACAGAAATAACATACACATGAACGATTCAGCATCACCCGGAAATAAGTATTGGACAGGCTGAACACGACCCAAGAATCGAATTAAGGACTCTTGGACTTTACGACGTTGTTCAACTACACGACGGCGTAATGAAGACGGGTCAGAAGCAATCGGTGCTCGTTTAACACGTGTATTTAAGAACGTGTGTGGTTCCGGTAATATAGGAAGTTGTAAGTGTGCAGGAGCAGGAGGTGGCAGAGAGCATGACAGCTGATTTGAAATACCTTGACCTACACCCGTATTTAACATGGATGTGGATCCCATCCCACCAAAACGTGGATTCCCCGACCAATTAGGACGCAATGACAAGGGTCGAGGAATAATTGTTGTTCCTCCTGGGCCCAAAACTGCAGCACATACCACACCTTTCTTGGGAGAACTTCCGATGCTGGTAGCTGAACGATATGAAAGAATAGTAATCAATAAAAATCGATGAAAATCAAAATATTTATGTAAGTAAATACTAAAATCGATGTGTATTAGCGATTAATAATTTTCTATTCTGAAGAGAAACAAGTCAAAACTATATGACAGGAACAATATGCTTCTTACTAATAATCTTTGATTCATCTGTGACAAAAGCAATTCAGTCAATTAACATAAAGTACCTTTAGGCATTTTCAGTTCGAAATATGGGCAGAAAAATCCGAAAGGGCATCAATCGTCAAGAATCAACGATTTTAATTAGGCTACACTGAGATGTGATCCATTATAAGGCGGGCAGTTCTATCCAGATTTGTAGCCATAAACTCCTGAACTTTGAATTTCACCAGAAAAAACATTTGCAAAAAACATCTGCAATTTACAATGGATAACTGAAATAACTAAAATACCAGTTCAGCCATCGCTTAGACTAACTAACCGAATATCACGGTAATTAATAGAAGATGGATCACAGAAGAAATAAAAATTTGACCATAATTCGTAAAATATGAACTGCACCTATTATTTTTGATGAACTATTACTGGACATCTGTTCATTATACACAAACGAGTCGGCTTTAAAGTATACAGTTGTAAATGGAAGTCTTTTACATTTAAGTAAATAAACACGACAAGATCAATTTAGAGTCTGGCAAAATTGTGCGTTATCCGAAATGAAAAACCACGATAGATTAAATTAACAAGAGGGATAGCAAAAGAGTTGAAATAATAGTAGAATTCATGACAGTGAGAATGATTAAACAATGAGAATACAAATAGAAAAAAAGTTATGTATGAAAATTTACTGAAACTCAAGTACTACGTGAATATAAACTTCATGTATCTGTGTTACTGTAAACAATCCTAAACCGAGTCATACAATATCTCCAAAAACTGATTAAGACAATTCCGCATACCACAACCACATAGTCTGTACCTACCATAATGAACCAGATCAGGTCAGCAACTTCATTGAGAGATGATACGTCTCAATCCAACCAATTCCCAACATTTTTCAAACCTACTCCAACATCAGCCAATATTACCCATCGAGGTAGGCAATGGTCAAGCACACGTAAAATATGCTCTAATCACCTTAATTGATCAATACTCAGTCTTTCTAACCGATTTGCCTAGAATTCTACACTTATCCTCAATATTCTTCATTTGCTTTTTCGACCATATGAGACCAATGCTTAGGAATACATCTACAGTCAGATAAATACAAACTCAATGTCTCCTACTTTCATAGATCATGCTTCACACCCACAAAGGAACACCACTGAGTACTTGCCCTATGGTTGACAGAAGACCGTTTCGCTAACATGAAAATCGATGTAAACTGGCAAGTGCTAGGCGGAATTTTTGAATTCGTGTCAAAATTCAATCAGTCGCCAACCCATCAAAGTTGATAGAACTTCAAAAATAAGTGAAGTAGTCGGCGGGCTCAACCGTTTTACTTGTCAAAACCAGTCAAAATACTGACGCATATCAGTCCCAAAGCAACATTTCGCACATAAAATGGAAGAAACCCACCTAAAACATTATTTGATTGTTACTTAAGTCGTTTAAAAGATTCCATATTTTGTTAATCCATGAGAAGTTCGACAAAGAAAGTGTCTTCACTTTAATCATTTTTTCAAATAAAACAACAACATGGTCATTCATCATATATTCAGTCGGGGAAAAGTAAAACCCATCAACTAATGAATTGCAACAGTGGGTAGTAAGTAACTACAGAACTGACCAAGCAAATGTGGAACATAAGTTGCAGAACAGAATACGATAGTGGTGTTTATGGCGGAGTTTTGTTCTCTGAACTTGGTGGTTCGGTCGTGAAGCTTTTATCGTTATTCTGAACGAACATCATCAGCACAAACTTCAGGTAGTAGTGAGATGTTTGAATTTCTCCACATACGGCTCACAGTTTGTCCTGTAAACCATGATCTTGATCGGTTATTGTTGAGCTTTAACCTGTCATTATCTAGAACTTTATTTTGATTGTATCTCCCTTTGATTTGATTCTTGCACTCATATTGGTCCATAATTTTCCTGATTGGTTGGTAGATTGCGTCAATCTCGATGTGTTTGTTGGTTGCTGATTGACCTGAATGCTAACCTTCTAAAAATTCTCTAGTGTTTTATGCATTGTCTCTATTCAATATCTCAACATTTTCCCGGTCGAATGTGTGTCCACAATTGTCCACATGTGAGGATATATCATGGCGTTTGACCGCGAAAAATTCTAGTTTTGAGGCGTCACTTGTATTGCAGTTTAGTCCTTTTCGGAGTAGGTGTTCTATTTTTGCCAGAGGTTGCTTAGAAAGGTTAGCCACGGAGTTGTTTGTGTTTTCTTCCGTGGGTGGTTTTGAAATCTGACTAACGTCTTCGATGGCATCAAGTTCACAATGGAACAGGAGTCAAACTACAAACTACCATTCTTGGATATATTAATCATCAGAACCGACACAGGAAAAATGGAGACTCAAGTATATCGGAAGCCGACCCACACACATCAAATTTTCAGTTACGGTAGCAACAACCCAAGAGCTCACAAAAGAACTACGTACAAACTCTACGCAAGAGGGAGAGAACATACTGCACCACGCCTGCAGCGCGGAAAAATGAAGAAAAATATCTAAAGACTATCTTTCAAACGAACGGCTACCCAATCAACAGCAAAAACACCAACCAAACGCGTAAGCAGAAATGAAATCAAGTACAGAAACCAACAATAAAGAGGGCGTCTGCTTTGTCCGATGTAGTGTTTTTCGCAGTTGGAAAAATTTATTTTGTAGATGATGTTCAGTTTTTCTTCTTTTGTCATTTCGTCCTTTGGTTTGCATAGGATCGGTTGAAGTGATTTTGTTAGTTTGTGTGCTACACCTGCTTCAAAAGGTTTTAACAATATCGTCTTAATTTCTGATATGCTTTTTAAATATGGTAGAATGATCCGTTTGTCAGTAATAAAAACACCACAGAGAAGAAATAATAATTTAGCATTAGATTTTTCTACAACAAAACATATATTCTTATTTTTAGCGTTTTGTAAGAAAGAAATCAGATATTCCACTGACTTCTTAATAGTTATAAAACTACTTGTTCCAAAAAGAGGGATAAATTTACAACTGGACCAAAATATATAGTGAATGAATTAGCGATTAAAACACCTGAATCTCTCCACGCTTACTTCAATTTAAGCAGTCAGGTAACCTCGCTAGACTTTACAAGGACAATTGTCAATAATTAATTATGATACTAGATTCAACCTAAATTACATCAAATATATACGTCAGATATTTCCAGTCAATAACAAACCACCACTTTGATGTGCTACATTTTCGATATCAATGCATACCATGCTTACAAATATAAGGTTAACAGTAAACTGATTTCAATACTCATTAGTGATTTTCGAATACAGACACCTAACGACAAATGATGACCTCCATAAGTATCTGAAAGACAAGGCTATTTAAAGCGATAAACTTCAAAGGTACGGAAACTGGCTTTACAAGTAGGTGGAAAAAAATTCGCAACATACGTTCTTTACATCCTCTGTACATACGTTTACGGGGAATTTCATTAAGACCTGAGACATCAAATCCCAAATCTATTAACCCAAGTACAATATCGCTCAAAAGAATCGAAGTTCTCCCACTGCTTTCAGCATTCATTAGTGAGGAAACAGCTAAGTCTTCTGTAACTGGAGAAAGTAAATAAGTATGTTGAGAATAAAGTTACCATGAAGCAAATTAATAATATACACCATATTATATATATATATATATATAACTTTAGGAATTACTTTTGTCTAGCTGTTTTGCTAATTTTTCTAGACCCAACTACTAACCTTAGTTCTCATCGCACCAATTGTTTTACTGTTTTTCATCTTGTTTAACTTATTTTTGTACTTGACTTACATTGTTTCGGTTCGTTTATTTATTTACTATTATTTGCTCAGATATTTCAAACATAAATTAAATATTCCATTAATGAGTCACTACATAAATATACTAGAATTGTTATTAAATTGTGCAATGAAGAACTATTGTATGTATAGTCACAAATTATATTCTTAACAAAGACTTTTAGGTGTCTTTTTAATATCATGATTTCAGGGCTGGAAGATGTAATTACTTCAGACATGAACTTTCAAGACTGGAAATAGATTTATTAACATTGTAGTTACAAATAATTAAAATATAAATTATTTCGAAGTTCATGTTATTAGTATTTATGTCATAAATGAAAAACAACTCACACAGATGCGAAACTTGAAAATGTGTGTGATAATTAATTAGTCTCAAGCTCCCGTGATATTACATGTCTTCTAATAAACCAGAGAGATCGGTCAAGGATAAGGAAAGCAACACATTCACCGAGATTAAGAACAGAGGGACAGATGGGTAGAATACTTCGAGGAACTCTTGGATAAACCAGCTCCACTGAACCCACCAAACATCGAAGCAGTATACATAAACCTTTCTACAGATGTCACTCCACCAAGGACCAAAGAAATCAATATGGCCTTCAGACAATATACCAGCTAAAGCTCTGAAGTCAGACATTGAAGTAACTGCAAACATGCTTCAGCTTCTATTCAAGAAGATTTGGGAGTAAGATCAAGTGCCGACGGACTGGAAAGAAGGATACCTCGTCAAGATACTAAGAAAAGGAGACCTGAACAAATGTGAGAACTATGGAGGATTCACACTACTATTGGTACTAGGAAAGCTTTTCAACAGAGTGTTGCTTAACCAAGTGAAAAATTTAGAAGATGCCCAGATTTGAGATCAACAGACCGGATTCCGTAAGGACTGATTGTGCACAGACCAAATCGTGACACTACAGATCATTGATGAGTAATCGATTAAACCGAATTCGTCAGTAAACATAAACTTCATTGATTATGAAAAAAGAATTCAACAATGTGGACAGTAGAACCTCCCGGAAACTTCTTCGACACTATGGTGTACATGAGCGAATCGTCAATATCATACGGAAGACATACGACGGACTACACCGCAAAGTCGTTCACAGAGGACAGTTGACAGATGCATTCCAAGTGGGGACCGGAGTCAGACAAGCCCAAGTACAAAAAATACACTTTGCGTCAACAATCAGAAGCAGATATGATAGAGGATGAATGGCGATTGGACAACACTGTCCAGGACGGAGATTTCTGGTAGTCCACCTATGCTCCATCACGACGTGTAACAAGAGTAAGTTATTGGATGCAGACACATTATTGTGAAATCTCACATAAATGAGAAATAAATAAATAAATAAATAATGTAATGAGAAGAAAATCAGATTTTCTGACGTTTCGTGACTCAGTGTAAGCCCCTTCTTCAAAAAATAAATAACCAAATTAACATTAATCCAAGTTTAAATAGTACAACAGAACAACACGAATATTAGGTGCAATCAATCAAAAAACAAGCCTGAATAAATCAATGTCGTGTCATTTCGGTCAAGGTGATTCATAAGCGATATGTATGTAAATTTGTGTGTGTGTATGTGTGCACTGTTAATGGTGAAAAATGTGACCTTGCAGGGCCAGTGAAATGCACTGAACCCTAGCCAAATCATCCGGCAGTCGGGTCACTAAATATCGAACGGATCGTCGATCCCCGTCAAGGTCAAGGACAATCAACACGCATCAGTTAATCATACGCCATGGACTGGTCCATGCGGCAGTGGTTCTACTTCGCTTGTATCTACTTTAACTAATATATTCCTGTTATAACGTCCCTTGTGTTATACAGTCTTCAGAGCATCCATGGTCCCTTGATACGTCGATGGGGCAATCCACGTAAGGTGCTGGTCGCGAGGTGTGACTTCGAAGTCAGCTTGTTCGTTACACCGTTCCCGTCTTACTCGAGTAGGCTTCCAATCATTCGACATAGATCATCAACGTTGATGGTCCACAACTTTTATAATGACAAAGGATAAAGTTTAATTTTTAATTTAATGCTGTGAATTGTAAATAATATCAGACTAGGTGACTAGGATAGATAGTCCAAGTAGGATGTATGGTAAGGTCTTCCTTTCTATTGAGAGCAGTAGGATTAAGCATTATATGGAACGCTTCAGCTACTCTCCTTTTTTTGTAATTGGAAAAGCCTTTTTGTAGTATTTTGATATTTTGTTTGTCATTTTGTTTGTCCTCTTCTGAAGTGATGATCTTGTTAACTCTTGTATAAAGATTTAAGGCTAACGAGATCTGTAGTGGCTTTAATATTCTGCTTAGATATTTTCATAAAAAATGAACAAAAGAATGTAATTAGTATCTTAAAATGTAATAATTTTCCTATGAAGATTATTAGAAGTATATTAAAACAAAACAGTTCAGTACGTAATAATAATAATTTGAATGAAATGCCATGGATTGGTACTGCAGTTTTACCATACCGTCATCGCACAACAGAAGAACTCCAAAGGATCTTTAGACAACACAGAATTAAAGTATATTACAATACAACGAACACACTTAGAAATATTTTAGTTCGATTAAAAGAAAAGATCCCATTCATATCTACACAGGACTGCGTCTACAAATTAGGCTGTGTCGATTGTGATGCCTTCTATATTGGAGAGTCATCTCGCGAAATCTTGACTCGTGCCAAAGAACATATTAGGTACTGTTGCGTCTCGTCGGTTAGGACGCTATATTCGCTTCCCTAAGCTAGTTCCGTAACCCCCAAGCTAGAACTACTCCGCGAATTGAAGACCAGAGAAAAGGCACAAAGTGTGAGGGAAGCACTTTACTACAGGGTTTATTTATGTACAGAAAATATAGGGATTTTATAGTTATTTAAGAGTCCTTGAGTTTTACTGAAAGTTCTAGAATACTGCTAAACATAGTAGCAGTGTATTAATCAGCCAATCAGGATCTACACATGTGACTTTTCCATTTTCGTTATTTTAGTAACATAACTTCTAATTAGTATGCTTGTCTATCAATTAATATTTCCCGTATTTGCAGCCACATTCGGCTAAATCATGTAAAATGTTGTTTCCAATTTTATGGTACTATGTGGTCTGTCTATTTGGCATATAAACCTAGTATGTTCGGAATAAAAGATTCATATTGCAGAGGCTGTTATTGGTGTTCTGGACCTAATAGACTGGGCTGAGCGGGAAGCAGGACCGATAAGGTCTCTAGACTGCTCGTACGGTTTTTATACGTCATTAGTCGGGTCGATAAATCACTGCTCTCTCATTGGCGGTATTATCACGTTATACATTAACAGAGCACATAGGCCACAAGTTATCGGTCAGCTACAACGTAGGACCAGGCACATATATGCATCGGTCCAAGTTGCCATACCTCGTTAGCACAACAAGAGGAACACCGGATTCATAGTAGTTAATCTAGTGTTGGTAGTAGTATATAAATTATAGGTTGTATATAAGGATATAGTACAGGAAGGAAGAGAGATATGAAGCAATTTTAGTCTCAAGGTTTAAGGGAAGATAAAGAGTGTATACACCTACGCCATTGTGACCGATTCTGAGCCATGTCACACAGAGTCTCCAACCATTGGTTACGATAGTCACGCGGACCCCAACCAGGTAGTCTGCATCTGCCAACATGGCTCAGGCTAGAAGTTAGTGACTTCAAACACTGATGCCATGTTTTGGTTTGGCCGCCCCTAACTCTCTTCCAACCATCCCCAACACTAGTCATCATAGCGCGACCACAAGTTATAACACATGTCATTTAGAGAAATAAATACGAGTGGTGAATTCAAAAAAATTACTGGTTAAAAATTTTCGCCAACTTTTAGAATTATATATATGTATATATACATATATATATATATATATATATATATATATATATATATATATATATACAGAAAACGATATTCGAAAATTCGCTATGATTACAAACGAAACCACACTTACAAGAAAAGAAAATATTTGAAAGTACTCTCAACGCTGCGTACTCAATAGATGTATATCCGACTGATAAGGCAAGATAACCAATAGCACCTTCAACAACATCCAAAACACCCTGAGGGCACTCTCCGCCTGTCAATAACCGACTAGACATTTCAGAAACTGCTGAGAAAATGTAGATAAAAATGTGCACTTTCAATAGAGAAGAAACTACAGAAGAATTGTAAAGGCGAAGACGACCATAAATTTTACTTGCATTCAGGACAAAGTTGGATATGGTTACCTTTGTTGGACACTACTCGCTAACATCACCCAAAGGGAAAAACCTTGATGACAGGTCACACAACTTCTCAAAATGTCACTATTAGCATACCTAGACACTTCTCAGAAGCTGATGCAACCATGAAACATATCGGCCCAATTCAAAGGTTGTCTTTGAATTAACGAAAGAGATTGATGTTGGTGTCTCGAAGCTTAATAAAAGGAGATACATGGATTTTACAACCTTTAGAGACTATAGACTGATCTCTGTTAATGGTCGAAAGTGATTTAATCTTATTTCCTACTAACTGGAGTAATCAATGGGGAAATAATCTCAAATGACTAATGACAATTTCCATTAGTCCAACTGGCACTTGTAAAGTGCCAATAATTTGTTATTACCAACCTGAAACACCTTTAGAAGCGGAGTGTCAGGTTCCGGTTGGTTAATTAATCCTAACTTAGCCAATTTAGTGAACATTAATAAGAAATGGAAGAGTAAGCGTAGCTCATATGTGAGTAGACTACCGAAAAAAATTTGATCTGGTGTCAAAGCCCTAAACGGAAGAATAGTGAAACCACCATTTCACCAAAGAACTAGCTCTCAAGTTTATTAGAATCATTATAACCATATATAATTTGGTAAAAACTAGATCAGTTGTGATTAGGTACCTTAAAAAATAAACTCACTGTAAAGAAATTACTTGCCGAAATAACATTTTCACTACTTGACAAGTAACTTTAGATTGAATATACTAATTGAATATTATCTTGATAAACAGGAGGCAACGGGTATAATTTATTGGGAGACTCACAACAGTCGAAACGAACAGAAAGATGGACAAAAGTAGTTACTCTAGTATCAACAAGTAGTCATGATTAAATTTATTAGTATACTATTCTCTATATAAATTGTCGATCCCAATCTGCATTCAACTGACTTGCCCCCAAATGCCCTGGTATGGCCGAGAGTGGGGAGAGTCCGCTCTCCCTCTCCAAATGCTCTCACATGGCCACGCGAATATATAGCCTCTGCCACACAAGTCCTACTCACTGCCTTCTCGTGGAGGGGGTGTTGTTTACCAAACTGAGAGGACGAAAGCGAATGTGCGGCGCTATAACCGGGTTGGTGGATACGAAAAGTCCACCTAGGGGAGTTGGAAAACCCTGATTCCAAACCAATGGTGCACATGGGCTCCAGTATCCTGAGGGAACAAATGGCGTATAGACCAACCGTTGGTCACCAGCTACCATGAGACTGCATCTCCTTACGATGCTCCACTGCATAGTGGACTAGACCTTCAGGTCAAAGACTCGGGACGTGGCCCCACAAGAAAACCACCTGCTTCGGTTTGAGCACCCGGGCAGTACAACAGCCCACACACAAATAAATGAAATGACGAATTCTACTGACAATACTATTCTCGCTCATACTAGAAGCAAGACAATTTACATTATCATTATTATTATTTACTACGTCGCTTTTTCGCTCCCTTTATTCCCAATTTGTGTATCTTTCCTTTTCAACTTATGCAGTAGCTTGCCCATGGTGGAAACTCTGTCCTATCTAAACGATCTCCAGTCACTGTCTGGTTGAAAGTGAATGCTTCCACCGATTACGAATACTGAACCAGTCTTTCTGAAACCACGTACGCCGTTCAAGCTAGCGTTCTTCAACGTTCGCACACTAATGCAGATCAGACAACAGATGGGGCTGGCTATGTCGCACTAAGCGCTAGAGCTGAGGCAGCACTAATCGATTGGATCCCCATTAACAGTCGGTTATGTGCTGTTAGATTAGAAAGTTCCATCAAAGTGAGAAGAAATCGGCGTGAGAAACGGTGTCTTTTCGTCATCTCCGCCTATGCCCCGACAGATTGCAGCCCGGATGCAATCAAGGATGAGTTTTACCACCAGTTAACAGTTCTTCTCCAGAAAGCGCGTTCGACAGATATTGTAGTACTAGCCGGAGACTTGAATGCACAGGTCGGGCGTCTAGGCACAGAAGAGAGTCGTTTAGGTGACCGATGGGGACTTTTTGGTTGCAGGACAGATAACGGGGACCGTTTGCTGCAACTGTGCACAGACTACAACCTGTTTCTGGCTAGCACTAACTTACGGCACAGTCATTGCCGGTGTGCCACCTGGCGTCATCCCTCTGCATCTCAAGCCTGGACTCAGATTGACCACATAGCGATCAGCTACCGCTGGCGTGGTTGTGTACAGGACTGCCGCTCCTTTTGGAGTACCTATCTGGAGTCTGATCATGACCTGGTCTGCGCCAATCTTACCTTACTTTTCAGTGGCCGAAGGATTGACCGCCATCAACGGATTGATGTTAGTAAACGGGCTGCAACTTCTGTTGCAAGTAAGTATCGAGCCAAGCTAGCTTCTAGGCTAGCTATCATCCCACCGAAAAGTATAGATGAGCATTGGTTGCACCTTCATAACGCCATGAAAATGGCGAGTAAAGCCGCTTGCGGCTTCGCGAAATGTCCCGCTTATAAGCACTGGGTTTCTTCTTGCTTCTTACAACCGATTGAAGCCCGTCGGTCTACTCCGGGTGACCGTAAGTATGACCACAAACGAAGGCTGTTACGTAATGAAATCGGGCAAAGCTTGCGTAAGGACCGGGAAGCCTGGTGGTCGGAGCGTGCTAATGAGATGGAAGCAGCAGCTGCATCTGGTAACTGCCGGAAGCTCTTCCAACTCATCCGAGCTACTGGCAGCAAGAAGTCTGGTGTGAGTGAAACAATCTACGAGGATGACGGATGCCAATCACTAACATCCCTCGACGTCTTGGACGATGGGTGGAATTTTTCGAAGGGCAGTTCAACTGGCCTGATGCTCCGGCAACATCGACCAGTTTGTCCTGCCCCCCATGGCCGGTGACGACTGTTCCACCAAACGAGGCGGAAGTCCGCAAGGAACTCCAACTCTTGAAACGTTACAAATCACCTGGCCCAGATGACTTACCTCCGGCTCTTTTTAAAGATGGTGGTGACCTTCTGACTAAGGAATTGACCGTGTTGTTTGGAAAGGTTTGGGAGCAAGAAAGTGTTCCAACATCTTGGAATGAGTCAATAGTCGTCCCTATCTTTAAAAAGGGTTCACGTTGTTCCTGCAATAACTATCGGGGGATAAGTCTACTTTCGATTGCGTCCAAACTATTGGCTTCTATCATTCTACGTAGGTTGTTTAAAACCCGAGAACGATTGACTAGCGAGGAACAGGCTGGTTTTCGTTCTGGTCGAGGATGCATTGATCATATATTCACCTTCCGCCAACTGTTAGAACACCGTCATACTTATCGCAGGCCAACAATCGTAGTGTTTCTTGATATCAGGGCTGCCTTCGATTCGTTGGACAGGACTGTTCTCTGGGATTGTCTGTTGAAGGGTGTCTGAGAAGTTCATTAACATATTAAAGGCCCTGTATACGAACACCTCAGGAAGAGTGAGGGCATACAACCACCTTTCTCCCTTGTTCCATTCGAGCAGTGGGCTTAGGTAGGGTTGTCCAATCTCACCATTCCTCTTCAACTTTGCCATCGACGACATCCTGGAAACAGCTCTAGTGGATGTAAGTAATGGCGGTGTGGATATGTTGCCTGGAGAACGACTTCTCGACCTTGAGTATGCGGATGATATTGTCTTACTGTGCGATAATGCCCAAGGCATGCAATCAGCACTTAATCAGTTGGCAATCAGTGTCCGCAGGTACGGCATGTGCTTTGCACCCTCCAAGTGCAAAGTACTCTTACAAGACTGGCAGGATTCTAATCCTGTACTCACCCTGGATGGTGAGGAGATCGAAGTAGTTGAGAAGTTCGTGTATCTAGGTAGCTATATAAGTGCTGGTGGTGGCGTGAGTGATGAGATTGGTGCACGTATAATGAAAGCCAGAGCGGCTTATGCCAATCTGGGCCATCTCTGGCGCCTTCGTGATGTTAGTCTGGCTGTAAAAGGTCGGATCTACAACGCGTCGGTGAGAGCAGTTTTGCTCTATGCTTGTGAAACCTGGCCTCTCCGAGTTGAGGATGTTAGACGACTCTCTGTGTTCGATCATCGTTGTCTCCGAAGGATTGCTGACATACAGTGGCAACACCATGTTAGTAATGCAGAGGTTCGGCATCGTGTGTTCGGGCGCAGAGACGATAATTCAATTGGTGTCACCATCTTGAAACACCGACTTCGGTGGCTTGGACATGTTCTACGAATGTCGTCTCAGAGATTTCCACGTCGTGCATTATTTGCCGACTCTGGGACTGGTTGGAAAAAGAGGAGAGATGGTCAGTGCATGACATGGTGTCGTGGTATGAAAGGAAGCCGCAAAGGGCTAGCTTCTGTTGGTCCTTCACGACTCCCTGGTTGGGGTCCGAAAGATGGTGCAACAGTGGTTAGAGACGTTATCAGATATGGCTCAGAATAGAAGCCAATGGCGATGCTGCTGCAACCTTCTTTTACTTTCTTCATAAAGTGGTTATAACTTTCTTAACTGAGGGTTTTTCTGGTTGTACATTTTAATTTCCCCATCATTACTCTTCTCTTTTTTTTCCTTCTTTTATATATACGCATCTTCCCCCTTTCTCCTACTATTCTCACTATTTTGTGTGGCGCATATGTATCCAGTGCCCTTTGTACCAATATGCATGTGACTAAATAAATAAATAAAATTCAACTGACTTCGTAAATTAGGTGTATACGGAGATGCTTACGGTAAAAAAGTCTATATCGAGTCCATTAGGATAAAAATATCTTGTTTTATAGTCAGCACCGACATTTATTTATCTGAACACATAAATATTGGTACAAAGGGGAACCAAGTACACATGCGTCACACAAGTCATTTGATTTGTGTGTGGGTTGTGATACTGCCCGGGTGTCCAGACCT